GGGCATTGCCCTGGGTGCCCATCTAGAAAAATCTGTCAACTTGACTGCACAAATCTTCCCATGGCTCCTAGTCAACACTGCTTGTCACGAGTCATCATCAGTTTATAGTTTATGAATGAGTTCTGTGCCAAGTTCCTTCCTCTTCCTGCCTCATATTTCCCTCATTCCTCCAATTTAGATGACATTCAGGGAAATAAGCTGAGAGTATTGAGTGCATAGAGAGCAGTCTGTCAGGCCTGGAGCAGTTACGCAGACAGGATGATGGATTTGAAATGATTGAGAAATATAACTCTTAATCATAAGCCAAGGCAGCTTCAAACTTTTTTTTTGCAGATTGAAACTATGGAGTTGGATCACCCTCAAAATTAACTTTGAAGAAATCTTTTGATACCTTAGGAGATGCAAACGCGAAATGAGAACATTACCACGCTCATGTCTGTGACATAGTGATCAGCTGCTGGTTAGCAGGAAATAGGTATGTGATTCTATCCAAAGGCAACACATTCAACCTACTACAAGCTTTAATACCCACTAATTAACAGTTTTCTTTGTTTTGCAGTAACCTTACTTCAGTCAGGCCACAGACTCAAGCTCAGACACAATCCCAGCAAATGCACTGATCTCTTTGCCAGCCCACATCAGCCTTATCTGACACCTTACAACACACCCAATTAGCTTACAGTATGTTTAACTTGTTTTAGTCTGTGCACATTTGCTGCATACCTGCAAGCTACTTTGCAACCCACCCTAGCTTCTCCTCTCATGCTGTTTCTGACTAATCAGTGTCACCCCTAATGTGAACCCTGTTGTGTGCTTCTGGTCTCATCTTTTTCTGTTTTGACACAAAAAGACAGCGAGTTCCCAGAACAGAGTCGTGCCTAGAAATATAAATTACTGCAGATGGAAAGTTTTCTTTTGATCATTTGCTAGTTTTTAAAAATGTGAATTATTGTATAAAATGTAAGTTGGTAATTAGCAGGCTTCAACTATGGTGAAAAATTTGTTACCTTTGGTTAGTTTGGCTTTCCAGTGTTTTTAATAAGTTAGGCTCTATCTTCTAGCTGTGGTGTTATATTTAGGAAACAGACTTGAGCATGGTATTGATCTTTAAACTCTTGACAAGAAAGCAGATGAGCATATTTTACAAGAATATCATATTTGTGCTTTAAAAATACACAAAAGATAAAAAGCTTAGACAGTGAGGATAATATCCCACCATTTCATCCAGTCTGTGTTGAACAATATGTATGAGCCGGATTATAATTTACAACAAAATCAGTTACAGCAGTGTCATAAAAACTACAAAGTGACAGTGTTGCATAGAAAGACTGACTACTACTGGGAGTTACAATGAAACAATAAATATTAGACAAGTAATAAATATATATAGTGCTGCACAACTCAAAACTAGACCTTCTGTTGAGTAACAACTCAAAAATATAATGGTTTATGGGTTTATTCCAGTGGTGCAGCAAGAACACAATTTTCCAAATAAACTGGGAATGTGTGCTGTTTGCAAATTTAGACTAATTTTCAGCAAAGTACAGCTTTTCTCTGTGCCTAATTAAAAAAAACGACCTAGCAAATAAAGTCAGAGACTATTCCCTACATGAACATAGCTACAAATGTGATCTGCTTTGGAGCACAAAAAAAGTTCATCATCTTATATTTAAAACATCCTTTTCTCAAAACAAATTCATCAGATGTTTTGTCAAAAGAATCTCCCCTTGTTTCGATCGCTCTCTGTTATACTACATGGACTGACATTTCAATTGTTTTCCACTTGATCAGAGGATGAATTAATTTGACATTTGAGCTGACAGCCAGTTTGCTTGCTGTCAGGAGGCGGAAACATGTTTGTCCTCCACCTTGTGAAGTGTTGAGATCAGAGCGACAAACCCTCTCTTTATTCCTGGTAACGATCCCTGTGAAATCATTTGTAAGTGGATCAAACGGCTCAAATGTTACCTCTATGCTTCATCTATTAGTGCAAAAACTAGGACACAGGTATGCTAAATGCTTGATGTCATGTTAAACATTAGTTACATGTTAACCATATGCACTGTGCACTTGCATATGGCTAAAACATATATTGCAATTCAAAATCAAAATGGGAATGAGGTAATTTCAGTGCTTGTTGAACCCATTACTAAGCTGCATTATGTGCCATAAATTATGAAATAAATAACAGCCTGTTAAAGCATTTGCAAAAATAAATTAAAGTGAAATGTACAGACATCTGGAAAGAAATATATAGAACAGGGATGTTAGGTCACTAAATTCATTAATAATGTTTCTTATATGCAGCTTGCATTGTAAATATCTAGGAGATGAACAGTCTCAGGCCATTGTGAGTGCAGATGCAAAGGATGCAATACAAAAACAAAAGAGACAAAAAGACATTCAGTCTCCTAGCTGTCTGTGGGCAGAGTGAACAAGACTGCTTCATTGGTGGTTGGCCCACTGCTAAGACATTTCCACTCAAGCATCAAAGCTGAGCACTGAGACACACACAGTTGATTGCACTGACAGCCTCTGTCCTCGTTCTCAACGGGAACCACAACTGCAGATTTGGTCTCCTAATGTTGAGAAACCTAGTGCCTGGTTTTGTTCCGTTTGTTCAACGAACCGCGGCTCCGGCTGCGACTGCGGCTCCCAAAGACTGAGTTCCACGATGAACTGCGGCTGTAGCTCCGGTAGGAGGAGTAGCTGTGGCTCTGGCTCCTGCTCCTGCTGCGGCTGATGCTGTACAGAGGGCTGCGGCTGCGGCTGCGAGTGAAGAGGCTGCTCCAGGATGACACGCTGGTGCACCGACTGCTAGAGGATGGGCTTGGTCGGAAGTAAGGAATGGGTCGCTTCCTGGCACTAATGAGAGCCAAAAATATAAGTGATGTAACAAGGTAAACAAAACATTGTGTCTCTTTAATCTCCCAACTTCACTAACCCCCATCTGAGACATTCAGACTTCAGCGGAAAGCCAGTATCATCATCAAGGACCCATTGCACCCTGGACACTCGCTTCCCCCCCATTCCCTTTGGTAAATGCTACAGCTCCATCAGGTCAAAGACAAACAGACTCAATAGGAGCGTCTACCCATGCTTCTACCCAACATGCCCTACCTCCACCCTGATTGAAAGTTAACTGTGCTGTCAACACTCATGGACACTTGCACTCTACTTATCTATATACAGTATTCATTACAGCATTTATTTATTAACAGTGCTCATTACAGTATCATACAATCAACATTCCTACCTCTATTTATATAACTGTACAGTAGCAGCCAGCATTCCCACCCCTGTGCAATACCACCAATCACATCGCACCTTATACTGCACTGATCCTACTCCTTACACTGTAGATATATTCATATGTTTTGTTTCTGTATATAATGTGTGCATTACCTCTTAAACTTATTTTTATCTTTATTTATCTCATTCTCCTATCCAAATAATGTGGAATGTAAAAACCTACAGCTGCAAATGAAGAGATGCCAAACTGTGTTTCATTGTTCTGGTAACAGTGACAATGAAGATCTAAATTATCTTATGTCATCTTAATAACCCAGAAGATAATTTGCAATTGTTGTGTATACAGTTTGATGTGTTGCCCCTAGTGGCCAAAAGCTAACATGCTTAAGGTCAGCAGAATGAATGAAAACCAAGATAACTGGGTCTTCATTATTTATTGTCCCACTATGTTCACATGGTACTCAAGCATGGACTAACCTAGACTTGATAAAGTGATGTAGAGACAAGACATAACCAAACCATAACTTTATTCATAATTTAAAAAACAAACAAACATTTATTTGTATTGGCAGCCCACCATGTGCCTCCACCTAGACTCAGTCACCCTGTAGGCACTGTATCCACATCATTTTCCAGTGCTGACCAAACCCT